GTCTCTGTAGGGAATGGCTGTTATATATTGGAGAGTGAGATTAGATCAGAAGGCTAATGTAGAAGCGGCATGGAAATCATCGGCTCTTTCACAGTAAAGCTGCTTTGCTCTTAATCAGCTCTTTTGATGATCCACGACTGGAATTGTCATTCTGTAATATCTGATACACCTGTCTCTGTAGGGAATGGCTGTTATATATTGGAGAATGAGATTAGATCAGAGGGCCAATGTAGAAGCGGCATGGAAATCATCGGCTCTTTCACAGTAAAGCTGCTTTGCTCTTAATCAGTTCTTTTGATGATCCAACACTGGAATTGTCATTCTGTAATATTAAGGGCTGTGGTGGCTCAGTATTTAAGACGCTGAACTGCAGACCGGAAGGTTGGTAGCTCAGCAGTTCAAGACCCGAGTGCCGCGTGATGGAGTGAGCTCCCATCTCTGGCCCCAGCTCCTGCCAACCTAGCAGTTTGAAAGCAAGAAATTGCAGGTAGACCAAGGAAACGTCTTTGGACAGCGCTGGCTCTTCGGCTTTGAAACGGAGATGAGCACCACAACCCTAGAGTTGGATTCGACTGGCTTTCAAGCAAGGGAACCTTTACCTTTTAAATAGGTACCGCTTCGGTGGGAAGATAACAGCGTTCTGCGTGCCTCGGCAGCTAGTCATGTTGGCCACATGACCATGGAGAAATCTTTGGACAGTGCTGGCTCTTCAGCTTGGAAATGGAGATGAGCAACGCAATCCTAGAGTATCTATCTATCTATCTATCTATCTATCTATCTATCTATCTATCTATCTATCTATCTATCTATCCTGGGCTTGGCCAGTTAAGAGACTTTTGAATGCAACAGAGGCTAAAAAGCCGCTGCAAGCGAGGTGAGCCGTGGCACAGATTTCAGTGGGGCGTGTGGATTTCCCCTCTAAGCAGCATCAGGCCCAAGGCGGCAGGGAAGCCAAGCCCCATTGTTCTTTCAACTCTCTCCTCCAACGGAGGCCTCTGCGTGTTGCCATGGCGAATTCTCTTCCAGGGAAGGACCCAGGGAGCCCAGCGCACATGCTCAGACAAACGCAGCTGTGCCAGTGCCGTCAAACTGGTCGGCGGCGGCCATTCAAAGAGGACCATCACAGCAGAGGCAAGCGGGAGATCAGGTACTTCTCTTTGGAAAGGTTCTGTTTCGTTTGGGCGGGGTTTCCCATCTTTTGTTTTTACAAACCTTGTGCGTGTGCGGAGATGCTGCCCTCTGGTCTGCTGACAGTCATCATTTCATGCTGCATTACGTTGCAGGGATGGCTATGGCTTACTGTGCGCCGGGTTTTGGGGGGGGGTAGCCGCAAGGTATCTGCTCCGAAGCAGGTAATCTCCTTTCGCCATCTTTCCTTTGTTGGGTCCGCAAGCGGAGAAGGAAGGGCTTCCTTGGGGAGCACACAGAGGACATTGGCTTCACTGGGTCTGTGGGAATGGGCTCCCTTCGTTGGCAAGCACAGAGAGTTCCCTGAAGTACTGCACAGGCATCAGAGGGAGGCATGGCTGCATCCGCAGATGCTCAGGACCAAAAATGTCACATCTCTACCAGCCTATTGCAAAGGATGCAGAACAAAGTCTCCGTAGTTAAAATGGTGTTTGTAAGAAGGGGGAATGGGGTGAAATGAATGAATATGGGGTCTTCAGTCTGAAGATGCTGGGGCAGCAAGATGGGGGTGTTCCTCCTCGTTTTTGCCCACAAATTAGGATCCGTGGAGGCAGCCGGCTGCAGATGAAGCGCTTCAGCACAGCAGCATCGGTTCAGGTAACAAAGAGGAGCTGCCTTGGTGCGTAACTGTTTCACCGAGGAGGCTTGGGCTGGCTTTCGAAACCAGTATCGCCTCCCTGTACGTATTCAGTCGGGCTCTTTGTAGAATATCTTTGGTTCCCCAACTATGGAAAGAGCCCGAACCCATCTCAAAACACGAAGCTGAAGTGAACGGGGCAGAATGTCCTTCTGCGGGCCTGTGGGCTGACCCAGGTGTAGACGGAGACGAGGGCTCGGGCAAAAGGTGTCACCTGGGAGGGAATTTTGACAGGCTTGTCTAATCACGTGTCCCCCCTCCAAATAACCTGCTCCGAAGTGCTGCTGCCACCCACCCTGTTTGTCTCTGAATCCCTGCTCTCCTCCCCCCCCCCCCCGTGAAGGAGGACAACTCGGCCAACAAGATGCTGAAGCGCTGCCTTAGCAAAGGGGTCGTCATCGTGCCTTTAATTCTGGTCGTTGGGCTGATCTCCACAAAGCCGGCTACAGGTGAAGAAGAATCTGGAACAACGATCCCTGCTGAAAGTAGGTATCCCTGTTTTATCTGGCATTTCACACCAAAGGCCATCAAGGGACGCCAGCTGGCCCGTAGCTAACATGGGGCCCGTGGGGCTTGGCCCCCTCGTGTTTCTTCTGGGTCCCCTCCTTCCCGGACGGACCCTAAAGTGCCCCAACTTGCCACGTGCATTGTGCTTTGATTTAATTAGCTAGCACACCACCACCCCGTGGCCCACTCCCCCAAAATTCCCTAACTACATGGCTGGATCCCAGCCTCCTGGTGGGACCTCCTGGGGATGCCCTGGAATGCTTTGGAGGGTGGGCTCTATGGCATTGTACCCCACTGAGGTCCTTGTCCTCCCCAGGCGCCACCCCCCAAATCTCCAGGAATTTCCCAACCTGGATCTGGCAACCCTACGCCCCCATCCCCTGCCGGTGGCCAGGGAGGACTTGGCAGCCGTACCACATGTTACTCGGAGAGAAACGCTAGTGCGTGTGCACGTGGGTGCTCCTATAGTACCGTCAAGACCAGTGTTCCCTCTAAGCTGAGTTAGTGTGAGCCAGCTCACAGTTTTTTAGCCTCCGGCTCACACATTTTTGTCTCAGCTCAGGGAGGATGGGGCTCCAGAGCAAACTGATTTATGCAGTAGCCAAATCGCTCGTTCACAACTTTAATGCCGGTAGCTCACAAAGTAGAATTTTTGCTCACAAGACTCTACTGCTTAGAGGGAACAGACTCAAGACAAAGGTGACTTAATGGCGGCCCTGTAAGGGTTTAAAGGTAGAGTTTCCAACCTCCAGGGGGCGGCTGGAGATCTCCTGGGATTACAGTTGATCTCCAGGCGATAAAGATCTGTTCACCTGGAGAAAATGGCTGCTTTGGAAAGTGGAGTCTCTGGCATTATATACTCCCCCTTTTTTTTATGGCCCCCCGTAGGGGCTTTTTTAATTGCATTTTCTATAAACTACAACGAAATTAGGAAGGGAATCTACAAACTATGGGAGAAAGTAAAGAAAAACCACTAAAAACCCAAGAGATGGTGGTCATACATATAATGCTTATAAGTTTAAAGGTAAAGGTTCCCTTGCTCGAAAGCCAGTCGAATCCGACTCTAGGGTTGCAGTGTTCAAAGCCGAAGATCCAGCGCTGTCCGAAGACGTTTCCGTGGTCATGTGGCCGGCATGACTAAACACCAAGGCGCACGGAACGCTGTTACCTTCCCATCGAAGTGGTACCTATTTATCTACTCGCAGTTTCTTGCTTTCGAACTGCTCGGTTGGCAGGAGCTGGGGCCAGAGACGGGAGCTCACTCCGTCATGCGGCACACTTGGGTCTCGAACTGCTGAACTACCGACCTTCCACAGCCTGCAGTTCAGCGTCTTAACCACTTGAGCCACCGCAGCCCAGCTTATAAGTTTAGCTTAAAGCTTAAAGTTCGATTAAAGTTCATTGGATGTGGTCAACAAACATGATCTTCATACATAACAGAAATAAAAACACCAACACATCTGACTTCTTAAAAAGCAAAATAAGCAAATTATTGGCAAATATTATAAATTATTTACAAATTATTAGCAAATATTATAAAGGATTCTACGGACTATGATAACTCATTTTTTATCCTTTTTCTTTCTCAACTGATAACTTGTTTTTGGGGCTGCCGCCCCGAGGCATTACGCTCTCTTAAAGGGTCCTCCCCTCCCCAGGCAATGCCTTCCTCAGGCTCTCCCCCCCCCAAAAAAAATCTCCATGTATTCCCCCGACCTGGAGCCAGCCCTATTTCAAAGCGAGAGATGAACATGGGTGGCTTACCATGGCCTGTCTCTGGTAGAAGGGAGGGAGGCTACAGAGAAAAGAGCGAAGAAATCACAAACAAATCTGTAGTCCAAATACACTAAATAAATGCAACAATAATTATATGGAAAGCAAAGTCAATAACAATGCCAAACTCATGTGTGTTACTATTGAATTGGAAATATAATAAGAAACAGTAATCCAAAAGTGTGGGTGGTAACAAACTCAAACCCACAATAAGTCACAGCATTTCTCAAAAGCATCAGACTTCCTTCATAGGTAGAACAAGCTCACAGAGAAAATGTTTTTGTTTGTATAAATATCACATATCCTTGGATTAAAGTCCAAACATCTATATACTGTGGCTTGTAGTAAATGAGGTCCGTTCCAAGTGGAAACCAGCATTTCTCAAAAGCAGAAAAAGTACCAATGCCTGTCTCTGTGCAGCGACCCTGGAGTTCCTTGGTGGTCTCCCATCCAAGTACTAACCATGTCCGTTCCTGCTTAGCTTCCCAGACCAAACAAGATCCAACTAACCTGGATGATCCAGGTCAGGCTTAAGCTCAGCATTACCTCATTACCTTGCGCCTCAAGCATTACCTCATTCATCCTTAAGGGATGGGTACTGTTCTCCTTGGCTTAGGGCTATCTATCAGAAGTGATCCATGCTTGGCTTTTAATTCAAGTCTCTCCAGATAATGGCTCTAGACCAGACAAGGGCCTTAGTCAAGCAGCAAATGCTAGATGTTGAGAGACAGAATGGTATTGCCAGGGTTCCAAACTTTTTAGTTCCCCCCTCCCCCCCAAAAAAAGAGATATGTGGTTCCCCCAACTTCCTATCTGTCCTGCTTGGAAATCCCATCCCATCGAAGGGCATTTTCTATGGCCCGATGTAATATTTTTCCATCTGCAGTCATAGAGGGCCGCTATAAAAATGTCCCAGTGGCCAAGCGTCTCTGCCCCTGTGGCACTGGCAAAATAGAAATAATCGAGCAAACTTTGTTAGACTGTGGGTACTATCGAGTAATACATACTAAGTACATCCAACCTATACAATTAAGTAATATGTTTTTTAGTTGCTGTAGATTTTCTGGGCTGTGTAGCCGTGGTCTTGGCATTGCAGAACCTGACGTTTTGCCAGTAACTGTGACTGGCATTCTCAGAGATATAACACAGAAAGATGGAGTACTCTCTGTGTTAAACTCTCTATGTTTTTGCTGGATTCCAACACCCGGGTTACGCTTGCTTGCGCCAGATTCTTAGCCTCAACCTATAAAATCCACAAAAAAACACGTTAAGGAGTGATATAGACAATTCTTGAGACTTCTTAATTTTTGAAAGTCTAAAAATTCCATCTTTTTAATAAATACTTGTATTTTAAAGTTTTTAATCTAATTATTTCTAATTTAATGGCTGTGTACCTAGAGTATCTCCTGCCAACCTAGCAGTTCGAAAGCAAGAAATTGCAAGTAGATAAATAGGTACCACTTCGGTGGGAAGGTAACAGCGTTCCGTGCGCTTTGGTGTTTAGTCATGCCGGCCATATGACCATGTCTTTGGACAGCGCTGGCTCTTCGGCTTTGAAACGGAGATGAGCACCGCAACCCTAGAGTCGGATTCGACTGGCTTTCGAGCAAGGGAACCTTTACCTTTACCTAGAGTATGGTATCAAACTATGTTCATAACTGATTTGTGCTGGTTACGTACCAAAATAAACTCTGCTTGCTTGATCATGTGACTGTTCCCCATTTTTCACAGTGGCCAATAGCACAGTAGAGAATCCCCTAGTCCTCGCAATATGTAAAACTGGGCTTTGCAGCTACTTGTCAGTTTCAGAAACAGTCTGGTCAGTTTCAACAGTGGGTTTTCCCCCTTCATCAGCATTCCTTTCTGTTCCCTTTTATTCAATAAACTATCACTAAAATGCATGTTCAAAACCTGAACCACAAGGATTTCAATGGAAGGTGCTTGCTGGGCACTAGTACGCAGCTGCGATAGGGCAATTGCGTGAATTTAAAAAACTCTGGACGCCACCCCCCACACATCGCAAGTGATGTTCTACCCCAATTTAGAAAAGTGTGGTTTTAAAATTGTAGCTGCAGAATAAATACACCAGAAGAAAAAGGATGGTGCATAAGGCGAGCAGAGAATCCAAAATCGAGGTTAAAGGCTCACTGCTCTGAAAATCTGCAGTAAGATGTGCATGCGTAATGGGCCCTTGTTGGTCTCTAAGGCATTGCTGGACTTGAATCTCACTCTCTTAGAATTGTGTCATCATGCCCTGGATATATCCGATGATTAGGATCGTGTTTTTGTTACGAAGAGACATAGATGCATTCTCGCTCATCATGGCCAGTTGCTTGGCACTTAAAATATACAGCCAATTGACACCTTTCATTTTTAAAAAATTCTGCCTTTTTTATTTTTGCCTTTGTGTTGGAGCAACTGCTGGAATCTGGGTAGGGTTACCAGCTCTGGATTCAGGGCCATAGTCGGGGGGACGGGGACGCAGTGGGTGGTGCCCCCTATCAAATCTTCAATGCCCTCAAGTCAGGGCGGGATGAGGAATCAAACAGCACTCCCTCCTGGCAGTGCCCTGTCCTTGGCCACTGGCTCAGACAGCCTGGGGTCGACCTGTTGCTCTTGCTTCTCCTCTCCCTGGCCCTGGAAAGGCCCTTATTCCCCCATGCCCACTTGTGTGTTGCAGCACCTGTGGAGTCGTTAGCACTGGCTCATCCCGCCCCTACCGGCCCAGATGTCCAGCCTCCAAGGGTCCTTCTGTTCTCCAAGCAGTCCTTCTGTCACTGCTGCCATGAGCCTGCCCAGAGGGTGGCTGTCTTTTCGTTCAGCTCATCCTGGAACCGGTGCCCCAGCCAGCAGAGAACAGTCCTCTGATCACAGGCTGGGCTGCCACAGGAGGTGTGGCGCTCCAGTAGTCCACTGCAGAATGAGAGAGAGGTGAAAGGTGGCTTGGATTTAATTGGAGCCACTCAGCTGCCCAGCGAAAGCTGAGCAGAAAGGTGATCAGTTGCGGGGGGACCGAACAGGGAGTTTGGAGACCCGAATGAACATAAGAGAACGTAAGAACATAAAAGAAGCCAATGTTGGAGCAGGCCAATGGCCCATCCAGTCCAACACTCTGGGTCACACAGTGGCCAAAAATACCAGGGGCCCTCAGGAGGTCCAGCAGTGGGGCCAGGACACTAGAAGCCCTCCCACTGTTGCCCCCCACCCCAAGCACCAAGAATACAGAGCATCACCTGCCCCAGCCTGTGAGTTCCCATCTATACCTTGTGGCTAATAGCCACTGATGGACCATACATTTATCCAGTTCCCTCTTGAAGATGTCCATGCTTGTAGCCACCACCCCCTCCTGTGGCAATTAATTCCATGTGTTAATCACTCTTTGGGTGAAGAAGGACTTCCTTTTATCCGTTCTAACCTGACTGCTCAGCAATTTCATGGAGTGCCCACGAGTTCTTGTCTTGTGAGAAAGGAAGAAAAGGAGTTCTTTCTTCACCTGCTCTGTCCCACGCATAACCTTATAAACCTCAATCACGTCACCCCTCAGCCATCTTTTCTCCAAGCTGAAGAGCCCCAAGCACTTTAACCTGTCTTCATAGGGAAAGCGTTCCAACCCTTTTATCATTCTAGGCCCCTGCCACACGGCAGGGAAAAAATGAGGAGAAGCGCAGCTTTTAAAAGCCGCGCCAAAAAAGAAACACCTCGGCGGGATCCCACGGATCCCGTTAGTGGCGTGCCGTTGCTCCCCGACACGATCAGATGCTGGGGAGAAAGAGGCGAGTGGGAGGGGGAGGCTGCCGAACTGCGCATGCTTGGGCATGCGCAGTTCGACCGGGGGCCGGGGATGCGGCGGCGGCAAGACGCGCCGCCGATCCCACAGCCAGGAAGATGCGGCCCAGGAAGATGCCGCGCATCAACGGGGGAAGGGCCGGATCGGTGGCGGGAGCGCGACGCCAGGCATATGTTGACGTCGGATCGCTCCCGTTTGCCGCGCTTCCGATCTGGCCCGCTCCCGGCCCAAACTGCCTCGTATGAACGGGGCCCTAGTTGCTCTTTTCTGCACTTTTCCCAATGCTATAATATCCTTTTTGAGGTGTGGTAGCCAATGCTCCCTCTAAGCTGTGCAGTCTTGTGAGCAAAAATTCTACTTGGTGAGCTACTGGCTTTAAAGTCGTGAGCTAGCAATTTGGCTGCAGCATAAATCAGTTTGCTTTGGAGCCACCCTTCCTGAGCTAAGACAAAGATGTGTGAGCCGGAGGCTAAAAACCTGTGAGCCACGCTCACACTAACTCAGCTTAGAGGGAACACTGGTGGTGGCCAGAATTGCACACAGGACTCCAAAGGAGGTCGCACCATCGATTCATACAGGGGCGTGATGATACTGGCTGATTTGCTTTCAGTTCCCTTCCTAATAATCTCCAGCATAGAATGACTTGAGCCAGACTCTGGGGAGGAGGTGTAGAGAAGCAAGGGTGGGTCAGGGAAGGAGCTGTTTGCTTCCAAGGGAAGGATCTTCTTGTCCTCCCCTCTGTGTGTGTATGGGGGGGGGGTTACTTGCTATAGTCATTGATAGAGCTCAGCTTTCCCTTTTAAAGGAGCTGCAGTGGTTCAAGTGGTTAAGACTGCAGGCTGTGGAAGGCCGGTAGTTCAGCAGTTCGAAACCCGAGTGTGCCGCATGACGGAGTGAGCTCCTGTCTCTCGTTCCAGCTCCTGCCAACCTAGCAGTTCGAAAGCAAGACATTGCAAGTAGATAAATAGGTACCACTTCGGTGGGAAGGGAACAGCGTTCCGTGCGCCTTGGTGTTTAGTCATGCCGGCCACATGACCACGGAAACGTCTTCGGACAGTGCTGGCTCTTCAGCTTTGAAACGGAGATGAGCACCGCAACCCTAGAGTCAGACTCGACTGGCTTTCGAGCAAGGGAACCTTTACTTTTTACCTTCCCTTTTAAAACTGGCTTTTCCCCTGAATTTAATTTAATTTAATTAGTTCCCCTTGGTTCCCTACCCCCCCCCCCCCGGAAATAATCCCTGGCTACCGGCCTGCCTGGATTGGGAGATACCTGGAGATTCTGAGGGCGGAGCCTGGGGAGGGTGGGGTTTGGGGAGGGGAGGGCCTTCAGAGGGACATAATGCCGTACAGTCCATCTTCCAAAGCAGCCATTCCCCCCCCCCCCCCCGGGAAGCCGACCTTGTGCTTCTGGCAACCCATTGCCCCCCCCACCCCCAGGGAAGCTGATCTCTGTCGTCTGGAGACCAGTTGCAATTCCAGGAGATCTCCAGCCACCACCCAAAGACTGGCAACCCTAAGACTGGCACTTCACTTAGATCTGTGCTCGGTGCCAACAATAACACCTTTGCACATTTATTACCCACACGCTTAATTTGGTGTCGTGGTTAAGTGCGCGGACTCTAATCTGGGAGAACCGGGTTTGATTCCCCTACTCCTCCACTTGCACCTGGCTGGATGACCTTGGGCAAGCCACAGTTCTGATAAGAGCTGTTCTTTAAAAAGAGCAGTTTCTATCAGAGCTCTCTCAGCCCCACCTACCTCCCAGGGTGTCTGTTGTGGGGAGGGGGAGGGAAAGGAGTTTGTAAGCTGCTCTGAGACACCTTTGGGTAGTGAAGGGCAGGGTATAAATCCAATCTCCTCCTCCTCCTCCTCTTCTTCTTCTTCTTCTTCTGAATTGAAGAACAGGAGAAGAGCCCTGCTGGATCACAGCAGTGGTTCATCTAGAGCGCATCGTCCCGTCTCACACAGTGGCCAGCCGGTTCCTTTGGAGGTCCAACATCAGGGCATAGAGGCCAAGGCCTCCCCTGATGTTGCCTCCTGGCTCTGAGGTTCAGAGGTTTAGTGCCTCTGAACCTGGACGTTCCCTTTAGTCACCATGGCTAGTAGCTACTGATACTCTTCTCCATCACTTGATTCATGGCGTGGTCACAGTTGTACAGACAGATCATAAGAACATTAGAGACGCCAATGTTGGATCAGGCCAAAGGCCCATCCAGTCCAACACTCTGTCATATAGTAGCCAAAAATACCAGGTGCCATCAGGAGGTCCACCAGTGGGGCCAGGACACTAGAAGCCCTCCCACTGTTGACTCCCCCAAGCACCAAGAAGACAGAGCATCACCCTTTTCGATCGTGGGTTTTTAGGGTGCACTCCCTGGTCATCATTTCATCCATCAAAGACCTTTCGATTTCACACTAGTTGACCAATGTCTCTCCTAGGTCGTCCGTGCGTTGACTGCCATGCGTTTGAATTCATGCAGAGAGCCCTGCAAGATTTAAAGAAGACAGCTTATAATTTAGATACACGGGTAAGGCTTTTTAAAATATTAACATTAGGGTTTTTTTAAAAAATTGGGTAAAATTACCTCTCTCCTAGAATAAGCAAGTAGGGGAGGGGACAGGCCCATCGCCAGAATTTTGCAATTCAGGGGGGCTTTAAATAAGTCGGGGGCCACTGACGTCACAAAAAATTTAAAAAATTAAAAACTCACTTTTGCGGCATTCGCACTGCTTGCCTACATGGGGAAGCAAGCCACACTTCGGGAAGGGGCAGTGGTGGGGAGCCCTCCAGGTGGCCCAGAGAGCAGGGGGGCCTGGGGGCTGGATGGAAGTGGCAGGAAGTGAGGGGGCCAGGCCCCGAAATGCCCCACTGTAGCTGGGGGCCTGGGAAGGGAGCTCCCTTCTCCATCTCCCTCCTAAATCCGTGACTTGCTCTATTTCGGTAATCTTGCCTCTTTGTACCTGTAGGTGTGTGTTGCTCCTGCCTGCAAACAATGCTCCCTCTAAGCTGTGGAGTCTTGTAAGCAAAAATTTCTACTTTGTGAGCTACTGGCATTCATGTTGCGAGCCAGCCATTTGGCTGCTGCATAAATTAGTTTGCTCTGGAGCCATCCTTCCTGAGCTAAGGCAAAAATGTGTGAGCCGGAGGCTAGAAAGCTGTCAGCTAGCTCACACTAACCCAGCTTAGAGGTTTTGAATTGGAAATTAGAACAGAAACTGAGCAAGCAAACAGGGCTCTGACAGCCAGATTCCAGCCGCCCGCCTCCCTTCCACCAGCTGCGCACGAAGGAAGCGGAATAAACCCCGTTCTGAAACTTGGACAGGTTGCAAGTAGAGAGATATGTCTACAAACAAATATCAGCTGCTTTTTAAACAAGCTTCAAGCAAATGATACAGTCTTCAAGGAATCCTTGGAATAATTCTACTGTAGAGGAGCGAAGGATCTTTGATTAGGCCTCCTTAGCTTCTTCACAGAACCTGAATCCCTAAAGATTTGTGCGCTGGAGCTGTAAGAGTTAAACAGGGTTGAAATCGAATGGAAGAGCCCACATCTCCACAGGGGGTGGGGGAAGAGCCTTGTCTAACAGCCCACTGCTAAGTGGAGTTATACCCGGCAGGCCTGCTGACTTTGAAGGGGCATAACTCTGCCGAAGGTTCCACTGCTGGAGCACTGAGTCGCTCCCTCTTAATTGCTTGAAGGATCCACACATGGCTTCTGCCGGGGCTCCTGGCTCAGCAAGGATTGCATAGAAATGCCGATTATACGAAATGGCACTTCTGTCTGGGACTTAACATTGTGATCACTGAAATCTCTGTGAAATCTGCACAGCTGAAGTAGTGCGATTGAGGCTAATAGCCACTGATGGACCTCTGCTCCATACATTTATCCAGTCCCCTCTTGAAGCCGTCCACGCTTGTAGCCGCTGCCACTTCCTGCAGCAGTGAATCCCACAGTTTAATTCCTCTTTGGGTGAAGAAGTCCTTCCTCTGATCCGTTCTAACCCGACTGCTCGGCAATTTCATGGAGTGCCCACGAGTTCTTGTCTTGTGAGAAAGGGAGAAAAGTACTTCTTTCTCGGCCTGCTCTATACGCAGGCGTAAACCTCTTATCATGTCAGGCAGGCACCGGCAAACCATCCCTGTTGGTCACAGGGATGCCAGACCCCCAATAAGGGTGGGGGGTGTCTCCCACTGCTAACCCCCACCTCTTCACCACTGGCCAGCCGGCTGGTGGGGGGGGGGATTACCCCCCAAAGGGAGGAAGGCTTAGCATTTCAGCGACATGCCTGCGTGACCCGAAAGTGATGTAGGCACATTGGGGCGAAGCTCTGGGTTTTGGGCAAAAACTCTATGGTGGAAGCTGACTCTACGATAGAGCCCCCCCCCAAGGCCCCCGGCGTTCCTGCATCACTTCTGGGTCACATAGGCACACTGCTGAAATGCTGAGTGTTCCTCCCCCCACTCCCAGTAAGTGCGCCCCCAGCCCCCGCCAGCTGCTTGGAGGGACCTGCCCACCCAAGTCAGCCAGGCCCCTCAAAAATACTACAGGGTCACCATAAGTCGGCTGCAACTCGCCGGCATTTTCCACCACAGCCCCCCCATCCTAAGAGGGATTTGCCGACTGTAGCTCACAAAAATAAATCAGGTTTCAACTGCTTTCCAGGAAATCACGCTGTATTTTAAGGAATACTAGCACTCCAAAATCTCTGTTTTCTGGGGTCATTTAGTAGAAAAAGAGGTGTGGGAGCTCATTAGCATAAATTATTATGCTAAGTGTGTCAGAAGGCAACACCCACCACTCAGGCTCCACTGGACTGTTTTGGATTGCTAGCGATTGGGGGGGGGGGACGTGCAGATCTGTCCTGGCAGAGGAGGGAGAGCTTCTACCTGAATAAAACTTGGTCTTAAAGGTGCCACTGGACTGT